GGGTTGAAGGGTTTGGAGGTTTAGGGTTTTTGGGGTTTTTGGGGTTTAGGGTTTAGGGGTTTAAGGGTCTAGGGTTTAGGGTTTAAGGGTTTTGGGTTTAGAGTTTAGGGTTTAGGGTTTTGGGCTTTAGGCTTTGGTTGGGGTTGGTTTAAGAGGAATGGGAAAGAAACTGGAAACTACTATCATTGGTTACATGGGGTTTTCGGTTCAGGCTTCAGGGTTTAGGGGGGCATTTAGCTGGGGGTTACATAGGGGTGATTTGGGGATTATTTTAAGGGTTATGATCCAGGGCTATAAAAGGATCATGTTAGGTGTTTGGTTGAGGGCTTTAGGTTTAGGCACATACTGAGATAATGGCTAAGAAGATGCAAACGACTATTTAGGGCTTAGGGTTTAGGGTTCAGGGCTTGGGGTTTCGGATTTAGGGCTTAGGGGTTTCTCAGAATGCGGGATATGATGGGCTCTCAAGTATGTATGGATGGTAGCTTACCACTTGGCCCAACAGCAGTATATGAAACCACTTCCAAAATGTAGGAGCCCCCTTGACACCTTTGTGAGGGAAAAGTTCTGCAAGCCTAGAAACTCCCAAACCCTGAATTTTTGAAAGCTGTATGAACGAGCATTCAATTAACCTAATGGAAAAGAAGTGGATTGTTTTGCAGGCCGCCGGTTTGGGGGTTGCGGCTTGGGGTTGGGGCAGGCATTCAGACAGGGTCCTCCTGTTCGCCTTTTCGCCCGATGGCAGGGCAAGGGCGCTGTGTAGGAAAAACTGTGATGGGCAACGGGGGACATATGCCGAAGTTTGAGTGCATAAGCTTTTCACGGTAAGGAACCTAGCTTCGAAAGAGAAACAAAGTATTATGACATTTCACTAGAGTCTTGATTCAAGAGCCCAGCATTGTGTGACTCTTGGGTAATGCAAGAGAAGCACTAGGAGCATTGGCTCAAACAGACTGCTACAGAGATTCACTGCTGGATGTAAAAGCCTCCCATGAGGATGCAAACAAACATTCCCAACTAGATTCGACCACTAACCTAACGAAGCCCCGCCCCCACCAACCTAAGACTGCTTGTTGCATCCGAATTCCCCGCTTGAGGGTCTCTATTGCCCTTGGACTGCAGGGTACACCCACAAGTGCTAGATCCCAAAACCCAAAACCCAAAACCCTAAACCACAAAAACCCTAAACCCTAAACCCACATGCGAATACGGAGGTCCTGAAAAACATGCGAACAAAAATGTATCCCTCCCCGAAACTAAGATGGAAGGGATTCAGAGCCCTTTCCGTAAGGGTCCACGTACCTAATATTTGGGTACTCAGGGTTTTGGTAATAGTAATTACAGTACAGGTTTTGGGAAAGTATATGCTTATCAGGATACTTGGACCCTTAGGATTTGAGAAGGACAGAAGTCGCTGTAAGGCTAGATCAGGATATGGCGAAGGGGTTGCAGCATTTCCTTCGTTATAGCTGCTGCTACACTTCTCTCAGCCCTTGCAAGGCACTCATCAAACAGCTCTGAAATCCAAGACCTCCAGCTTCATCCCCCGAAGCCCCAACTCTTTTAAGGTTCAAGGTTCAGTGGGCGCTCATCATGTCCTGATACCTCATACCGGCAAAAAATGAACATGAGCAAACACGTAAATGGAGACATTTCATTTAGTGACTTCCCAAAAATGAAGGGACTTCTCAAAAAAGACCCCAACATATTTCAACCCTTCTTATTGGGAACCCCAGAACAGTACCCCTAGTTGTGGGAAAAACTCATTTAAATCCCCTTACAACCAACCCAGATATCCCCAAAGAACCTACCCTCGTGGAAGCAAACATGGAAACCCCAAAGCAGCCTATAAAGACTACAGCCCCTACAAAAGTAAGGTGCTATACGGGTTTCCACGCGAGATTAAACCTCATCTCTAAGCCCCAAACCTAAGTCCTTAGCGTATGCTTTAAGTTACTTGGGGGTTTCCCAAAATTAGGGGTACCATTTTAGGGGTCCCAATAATAAGGACTATAGTATTTTGGTGTCTATTTTTAGGGGTCCCCTTATTTTGGGAAACTACCACTTTTCTTTTCAATTTTTAGCCCATTGGCGAAGCTGGGTGCCCAGCAGGTTTCTTCCCCGACCTCAGGTCATGCATTGAGTGCCTCATAGGATCTAGGGCTTGGGTCTTAGTGTTCAGGAGTTTTGGGGATGTTTTAGGGGTTCACCCCCCCATACCACTCCCTTTCATAGCTAATTGCTTGGCTTTCGGCTGGAGGGATTCGCCTGAAATCCTGAGCCCTTAGCCGCTTAGCCTAAGCCCCTAGACCACTAGACCCTAATCCAGAAGCCCCTGAGCTTTGGACCCTACCCAAAACTGCAAGCCTCTACTACAGACCCTTCGCCTAAAACCCTGAACCTCCAACCCCTAAATCCTTAAACTTTCAACCTTGCTGAACCCCAATGAAATCTAAATCGCTGACAGTGAAACCACGAATCCTCAGACCTGACGCTCAGCCCTGGGCCAAGACGTCGAAGAAGCTTCGAACCGGTCCTGCTGGGTTGGGTTGTTGTACCTGCCCTGAAGTCCTCCCCAAAAGTAGATCTAGCTATTTATTGGGTCAGGGTTACTGCAACCCCGCCGAATACAAAGACTATTTCTACATTCTACATAATTCCTTCGGGGTATAAGTCCTACAGTAAGAACTGCAATAATTCCTGAGGGGAGACCCACCCAGTAACAGTTGCAAAATGAATATCACATAAATATGTACAAGCCTTAAAACAATCCCAATTAGACTGTTCCTGGGTGGCGGCAGTACCCAGGCTAGAATCATGCTTTCAGGACATCCCTAGTTGTAGTGCTTCTGCGCGACAAGGTTTAGCAGCTTAGCATCTTTGTCTTAGGGATTTAGGGTTTTGGGATTGAGTTCTTGAAAAACCAGGGTCCTTCTGCAAGGGGCCGATATGCACTTCCATGTTCGTTTCGGGGAGGGAGCCCTAAACCCCAACCCGCTCAACCCTAAACCCTAAACCCTTAAACCCTTAAACCCCTTAAACCCTTAACCCTGAACGAGTAGATTTTTGGGCGTAAGGTTTGCCCAACCCTGCCTGGGCACAGGGAGAGGCCCGCTCGAAGCCAAATTCATAGGAAAAACTACCTAACGAGCCCGCTTCATTGACTTACTGGTTGTTAAGAACTATAGGGTCTGGGGTTAGTATACGGCAGTGTAGAGGACTACGGAGACACTACGGTTCAGGGTTTAGGTTTTAGGGTTTAGGGGGTTATACTAAACGCTAAACCCTAAACCCTATCTCAGCTAACCAACAGAAACTTCAGAAGCACTGCATGACAAGGCCCGAAACCCACCGTATCCAGCCTGACTGCTCGGAGTCGCTGAGGCCATCCTAAAAAGCGGGGAGTTGGTCTGCGTTTGATGAGGCTGTCACTCATGCTCTCACCTTAACAACAGCAATCTTGTGTTGAATATCCCCACCCCTACCATAGGAAGGTGTTAGATTGGACATGTTTATCTTGCGTGGGGAATAGATGCCGCACTGAGCACAAGGAGGAGGCGCCCAGCCCGGCGCAGTAGCTGGCGGTTCCATTTCAGAAGCCAATGGCTCCTCCTCCTCCTCCTCTATCATCCCCCATAGAAGATGCTTCTTGTTTTTATCGAAGTCGATCAGGCTGGCAAGGTAAAATATTCCATGGTGCAAACAAAGGAGAAGACGCCACAGAAAGCTGAAACGTCGCCAGAGCCCAAGTCATGTATAGCATGAGTTATATAGGGGTTTCCCACAATTAGGGGTACCTTTTTGGGGGTCCCAATAATAAGGATTATAGTATTTGGGGGTCTATATTAGGTACCCCTTATTTTGGGAAACTACCATATAGCATGCATGTGGAGAGCCAACTTGTTTTTTTGCTTGTCTAGCTGCGAGGTGTAGCTCTGAATCGGGAATGATTTCCGCGAGGTTGGCGTGGTCGGGGTTCAGAAATCCTCTTGCTATAGTCCCCCTTAAATAGATAGAATATGGGTTTGAGTATATTATAATAAACTCCCCATATATCCCAGATTCTATCTACTTAAGGGGAACTATAGTTTCAAGAAGGTCCGGGCCTAAAAAAGGAGCGAACCCTGAAGCCTGCATGAGCACTGCATCTCAACAGGGTATTAGGGTTTAGAGCGCAGGTCTTGGGGTCGTCATGGTTTAGGGTTCAGGGTTTAGATTCCCCTAATACCCCCCCCCCTGTCAACGGTAGGTTCCCCCTTCCTTTGTCAAGTGACCCTTATCAGTCTTAACAAGAATTAAGGCAGAGGCTTGGTAAGGGATTACAATAGTAACCCCCCAAAGGTATAAGGACTATATTGGGCTTAATAAGGTTCTAAATCTGGGGGGTGTACCTTTGGGGGG